CTTTCTCTTTCCTACAAATTAGATAAATTTAATAGAACAATTTTTTTAATATGATATTAATATACATAGTATCATATCTGTATATATAAGGGTTTTTTCTATATATTTTTTCGTATTATCAATTTATTTACACACACAAAATCTTATACACAATATTTATACTTGCCAAAATCCTTAATTTAATTCTTTGTTGAATTTAAAATAGATTTTTTTTCTTTTATCAAAAAAAATCCATATATTATATATTAATATACAAACAAGTGCATTTATACTATATATGTAATGTCTAATTATTATTTGTGTATAAACAATTAAATACAAAAAATATAATAATTAACTATATAAGTAAAAAATATTTTAAATATTATGAAGAAGATTCTACATATAAATAGTACTATTGGGTCTGACGACAAACTAATTAATGAAAAATTGCCTACATAAACATTGTTATATGTATGTAAATAATAATTCGAAATACGTATGATTTGTTTACTACTTTGTACTATATTATTATGCATAAATGTCATATCGCATATATTTTGAACACTTTCCATATTTGATATAATTATATATATGTATGCAATAAACATTTATAATTTTACTTTTAGCTTTTAGATTAAGTTTTTTTACACTTATAGCTTTTTATATGTAATCTTTTTTATTATTATATAAAACTAAATATTTTATATATAGTGTATACAAAGTGTTGAACCTCTTAATTTTATGAAAACTATGCATTTTTGAAAAAAAAATGTTTTATACAAAATTATAGGATTTACAAATTTATTAGTTTTATCAATTAATTTTGAGTTGCGTTTTTTCAAGGCCATTTCAAACTTGATTTTTTAAATGGAATTACTCCGTTTTTATGTAAATAGATTGTAACCTTCTACATAAAAAATTATAAAATTAGCCAAAAATTGAACGAGATATTTTATATTTTAATCTGATATATTTCCATTTTTTTCTTCTAAAAAAAGGCAAGTCGTGTAAAGTCGATACTCGCATATCGCGAAGTGTCGCTTTTCCGTGATGCTAATTGGCTGTCTTGACTCGCGTTATATTCGTAGCATTGAGCAGCTGTAATCACGAGGATTATTAACAGTTTGACAGTAGAGTTCAAAATAAAATTAAATTAAATCATTAAATGTAATCAGACAATCGCACGCGCAATGTGCGCTTGTTGTCTAGTTTGATATAAAAAATACAAATATTTCCTAAAATATTTCGATAATTTTATTTTATAATTTTTACGCACGGAATAATTAGATGAATCAATAGTGTAAAGAAAATGCTTAGTTGTTTTTAAGGAAAAGTATGCAGTTTAATGTTCATATGACATATGAAAATTATGAATAAAAATACACTATATCAGATACAAATAAAAACAAACATTCATATACATACATAATACAAAAACATGCATAATATAAAAACATGCCAGGAAGTGGGAAATAGTAGAAAAGAAGGAAAGAGAAAGAATGGTCATAAAAGACCTAGCAGTTAATGAGGGGAAAAGAAGTGAAGGGGCGGAGAAACTGCTAGAGGAGATAGAAGCGAAGGTGAAGATAATGAAAATAAGGAAATAGGGAAGGACAGAGAGAAGGGGAGGGAGATGGTGGTGGTAGAATTGGAGAAGGAAAGACAAAAATGGGAGGTAATGGAGAAGAAAAAGAAGCTGAAAGGTAGAAAAGAAAGGATAGACACGGATTTAACGTGGAAAGAAAAGAGGTAAGAAGGAAGTTGGGAGAAATAGCAAGAAAGGAAGAGAAAAGAGAAGAAAGGACATGGATAAGTAATGGCAAGATAAGAATAGGAGAAAAATGGTGGAGATGGGATGAGGAAAAGGAGTTTTGAAGGATGAGAAGGGAAATGTAAGGAAAGAGGTAATGGGGAAAGAGGAGAGGAGAAAGAAGATATTCTGAGATAGAAATAGATGAGAAAAGGAAAAGGGAGAGAAGAGAGAAAGGATGGAAGATGTTTTCTGAATGTAGCGGGAGTAGGGAACAAGAATAGGGACTTTTAGAAGGGATTAGAGGAATGGGATGTGATAGTGTTGGCAGAAACATGGATGAAGAGAAGGGATGGAAGAAGATCAGAAGATTTCTACCGAAAGGACACGTATGGGGAGTACAAGGAGCAGGCAGAAAGAGCAAAAGAGAAGAGCGATAGGAGGCATGATTATGGGGATAAGAAAGGGGAAAGATAGCGGAGAAGGTAAGGAAGATGGAAATGGATAAGGAGGGTTTTTGTGGTAGGAAGAGTGGTAGAAAGGTGGGGGAAGAAAGATGGAAGGTGATAGGAATATACATAGGAGAAGGAATAGAGGAGGCGTGTAATGAAATGGAGCAGTGGACAGAGGAGAAGGAGGATGAGGTTTACACGATAATAGGAGATTTTAGTGTGAGGGCGGGAAAGGAAGGGGGAAGATTAAGGGGAGAAGAGAATGCAAATCAAAGGACAACGTAATCAACGCAGAAGGAAGAAAATTGCTGGAATTTATGAGAGAAAGAGGATGGAGCATACTGAATGAGAACACAAAAGGAGATGAAGAGGGGGAATGGACATTTACAGGAGGAAGAGGAAACACGGTAATAGATTACGTACTAGGAAATGAAGATAGCGGAGAGAAGTGAGAAGGTTAAGGGTAAGGGATAAAGTGGATTCGGATCATCATCCAGTGGAGGTGGAGATAGAAGGAAATCAGAGAAGGGAGAGGAGAAAAAATCGAGGAGGGATAAGAAGAGGAGCATGGAATGAGGAAGGTCGTAGGAGGTTTGAGGAAAAAGTGGGAGAAATTAGGAGGAAGAAAGGAAGAGATAGATGGAGAATGGATGAGAATAGAGGAGAGTTGAAGAAAGCAATGAGAGTAACAGAGGAGGAATGGAGGAAAGTGAAGAAGAAGAGTAGATGGTGGAATGAGGAGTGTAGAGAAGAGAACAGGAAGGTAAGGAAGGAGCCGAGGAGATGGAGGAGGGAAGAAAGAGAGGGAGAAGAATATAGGAGGAGAAAAGGAGATTACAAGAGATTATGTGAAAGAAAGAAAAAGGAAGAAAACGAGAAATAGGAAAGGAAGGCAGCGGAGGTGAAAAGAGAATCAGAAGTGTGGGAAATAGTAAACAGGGAGAGAAGGAGATGGAAGGGAATAAATGAAGAAATTGAAATGAGAGAGTGAAGAGAATACTTTATGAAGCTGCTAGAAGGAGTGGAGGAGAGGTGAGTAAGAAAGGAGAGAAGGACAGGAGAGACAAAGAAGAGGAGGAAGAGGAAGAGAAAATAAGTAGAGAAGAATTGTTAGAGGTGATAAAGAAACTGAAAGAAGGAAAAGCGACAGGGATAGATAAAATCCCGAATGAGGTTTGGAAATATGGAGGACGGAACCTAAAAGAATGGACATTGGAATTTTGTAACAGGATTTGGAGAGGAGAAGGCTGGCCGGAGAGATGGAAGGAGGGAGTGATAGTGCCGATAAGGAAGAAAGGAGAAGGAAAAGAGGTGGAGGATTACAGGGGAGTAACCTTGATGTCAACATTGTATAAAGTATATACAATGATACAAACGGAAAGATTAAGGAAGGAGGTGGAGGAAAAAGGGATAGTGAAAGAAAACCAGATGGGATTTAGGAGAGAAATGGGTACGATGGACAACATCTATGTGATGAATTACCTGATTAATAGACAATTGGAAAGAAAAGGTGGAAGGATGACGGCAATGTTCGGAGACTTGAAGGCAGCGTTCGATTCAGTGGACGGGGAGAAAGTAATGGAGGCAATGGAAGAGAGAGGAATAAGGAAGGGATTGAGAAAAAGGGTAGAGGAGGTGATGGGGAAGACAATTTGTAGAATAAAAGTAGGGGAGGAAATAAGAAAAAAATTTTGGATAGAGAAAGGAGTAAGGCAGGGGTGCCCATTGAGTCCATTGCTATTTAACATCTGGATAGCGGACTTAGAGGAAAAAATGGGGAAGATGAAAAGAGGAAGAGTGAGGTTAGATGAGAAAAGGATATATACATTGGCGTACGCGCGGATGATATGGTGTTGCTGGTAGAGGAGGAGGAAGAATTGAGGAGCATAATCGAAAGATTAGAAGAGTACTTACAAGGAAAGGGTTGGAAGTGTCCCCCTCCGATTTTAATGAGCTTTAAATATGTTGTAGTCTAGATCAAAATAAGAGACACGTATTTTTTTCTAAGTGCTGAGTCGGCCGTTAAGGGGGTGAAACACCTTCTTGAAAAAAATCGATTTTTTCATTTCTCAGCAAATACCGTCGAAGCGATAAGAGATATAAACAAAAGTTTCAAATAAAAGTTTTATGGTCTTTAATGTACTTCAAAATCATGTAATCAGATTTGTCGAAAATGTCATATTTTTCAAAATCCCCCTCTCCCTTTCATTTTCGACAAATCTGATTACATGATTTTGAAGTACATTAAAGACCATAAAACTTTTATTTGAAACTTTTGTTTATATCTCTTATCGCTTCGACGGTATTCGCTGAGAAATGAAAAAATCGATTTTTTTCAAGAAGGTGTTTCACCCCCTTAACGGCCGACTCAGCACTTATAAAAAAATACGTGTCTCCTATTTTGATCTAAACTACAACATATTCAAAGCTCATTAAAATCGGAGGGGGACACTTCCAACCCTTTCCTTGTTAGATCATAAGAGGTTGGAATTGAACGCGAAGAAGACGAAGGTAATGAGGTTTAGGAGAAAAGGTGAAAGGTGGAAGAAAAGGGAGTGGAGATGGAAAGGAGAGAAAATGGAGGAAGTAAAGGAATTTACATATCTGAGATACAGGCTACAGAGGAATGGAGGACAAGAAGGACAGGTGAGGGAAAGGATGAGGAGAGCAGCAACTATTATGGGACAAGTATGGGGAATAGGGAAAAGAAGGTTTGGAAAAGATTGGGGGAGAATAAGGTTATGGTTGTTTGACAAGTTGATGTGGACAGTGATAAGCTACGAGGTGAAAATATGGGGGTAGAAGGAGAGAGAGGA